TATCCCACCTGAATTTCAGAACCATCTCAGGAACAGGTTTGAGGCTTTGAACACTAATGAGCGAAGGCCAGATGAGCTGTGGGAGGATATCAAGGGTATCATCCAGGAAGAGTGCATACGGTCATTGCAAAGACAGAAGAGGAACGAAAGACCAAAATGGATGTCAGAAGATACTCTGAAAGTTGCACTGGAGCGCAGAGAAGCCAAAGCACAAGGAAGAATTCAAGATACTGCAATGAGTAGAGGTCTATTATCAAACATTTTAAAAGTAATTGTGGGTGGGGGGGAAGGAATTGTGGAACAACGAATGATTTTTTTAAAGTGAAAAGCCAACTGGGGGGAGGTAGGGAGGAAAATGTGCAACAATGAGTGAATGGAAATCCAAATTTTCTGTAAACTTCTTTTAAAATCACAATAAGAAATTATTCAAAAGAAGAAAATAAAAACTAACTATAATCGTGTTACTGCGAAATATTTTGACATTTCTTTTTAAATGAATATATTATAATTTTATTTTAGAGTCCATTAAAGTTATATATTATTAGTGATTTCTTTTGATAGTTCACTAAATCAAACCCTTATACTTCAAAGTGATGATAGACTTCCTAGGATTACAAGAATTTACTTCTCTCATCTAAGCAAAGAGTTTGAATCAACCTAAGTGCCCATCAACAAATGAATGGATAGAGAAGCTTTGGTATATTCACACAGTTGAGTACTATCTGCTTTGAAAAAGAAGGTACTCATGAAATATTATATACCCATTTGGGTGACCCTGGAGGACATTATGCTGAGTGAAATATCTCAGTCACAAAAGGATAAATACTACATAGTGCCACTGTTGTTAAGTGTGTCTGACATTGGAGTTGGGGGGAAACTAAGAGGGGATAAATAATGTATACTGCATTGAAACAGATGAGGGAAAGAACTGTTTAAGAGGAATATATGATTAGGTATTATTGTCATGACAAGAGTCCAGAATGAAAGCTGCATAGTGGAGTGAACTGGGGTGGGGTGGGAAATTGTATAACAGTGAAAGAATTTATTTATTTATTTATTTATTTATTTTACTTTTCAAAGAGAAACACTAACTTGGGGGAGGGGTGAGCAGGCAGGGAGGAAAGTGTACAACAAAGAATGAATGGAAATCCAAAGTCTCTGTAAACTTTCATTAAAATAAAAAAAAAATTTGTTTCTCTGGTAATATGCAGGTCCCTGGATTCTAAAGTTATGCTAATAGTAGAGAATAATGATGTTTAGTACTATGCAGATTGATAAAATAAATCTTAGTAGGAGAATAGTGGCTTTTTTGGATATTATTTGAGTGGAAGTTTACAAATCAAACTGATTCTCCATTCAACCATTCGTACACATTTTGATACATAACTTTAATTACAATA